TTTTTATTTTTTATCAAAACTTTCAAACATATAGAAAAGTACAGTGAATCATCATCACCCTTTTGCTTATATGGTTTCATTTTGGATCACTTCATTTCTGTCTATTCTACCACTGGTGGGAATATGGATTGTTTCCAATTTGGAGCTGTTATAAATAAAGCTACTAAGACCATTTTTACACCTGGCTCATGACGGACACAAGCACTCATTTCTCCAAGGTCTATATCTAGGAGTGGAACTGCAGAGTCACAGGGCAGATGTATATTTAGCTTTAGTTTTCCCAAAAATGGTTGTACGATTTATACTCCCAGCAGCAATCTGGGAATTCCAGCCATTCCACATCTTTATCAGCAGAGGTGGTATTATCAGTTTGGTTAGTGTTGGCCACTTTGGAAAGGGGCAGTGCTTCACTACTGCGCTTATAATCTGTATTTCCTTTACAACTAATAATGTGGAGAATATTTTCCTGTTTATTGGTTCTATGGATATCTTCTTTTGTGAAGTATGTGTTTTTCTCTCATTGATTTCACCCAGAACTATTTATTGAAAATATCATCTTTTCTCCAATAAATGTAGTGGTGTCTTTATCCTAAATCGGGGGTGGGGGGGCATATATGCTACCCATCAATTCTTGATTATTTTTATGTACATTTCCTTCCTTATGCCAAGCATGTCTACTTGGTAAATAAAACTAAGTTTGACTGAAAAGACATATCTCCTGCAAAATTAACCAGAAATTAATTTGACTGATGGGCTCTTTGGCACCACGCACAACACTGATACTACCTGCCACAATTCTTGGCGAATCCATTAAAATTTTACAAATAAAATGCCATGAAGTCTACTTCTACTCAAAGTATGTTATGAGTGTATAATACCAAATGCCACACATATATGCTTTTTAATCATTATCCTTTGGCCCTCTAAGTCAACAGATTGAACTATTTTTTTCTTTGACTTTTTATCCTGAAATCATTTTGGACATATAGGCAAGTTACAAGAACAGTAGAGAGTTCAAGTATACCTTTCATCCTGCTTCCCCTAGTAGTAACCATTTATCATCAAAACCAGGAAATTAACATTTATATCATACTATTAATTAGACTACAAAACTTAGGTAAATTTCACTTGTCTCCCCCTTAATGTCCTTTTATTATTCCAAAATCCAATCCGGGATCTCATACGACCGACATTAGTTGTGTCTCTGTAGTTTCCTTGAATTGATGACACTTCCTTATTCTTTCCTAGTATGGTCAATTTGGGAGGTGGGGAGGAGGGTGTAACATAAAAATATGTACTTCTTTATAAATTATAAATATGTATTGTCACTAATATTTTTGCATCATATAAAATATATATTAAAATATAAATGTTATGGGGATCCCTGGGTGGCGCAGCGGTTTGGTGCCTGCCTTTGGCCCAGGGCGCGATCCTGGAGACCCGGGATCGAATCCCACGTCGGGCTCCCAGTGCATGGAGCCTGCATCTCCCTCTGCCTGTGTCTCTGCCTCTCTCTCTCTCTCTCTCTCTCTGTGACTATCATAAAAAAAAAATTAAAAAAAAATTTTTTTAAAAAATAAATAAATAAAATACAAATGTTAAAGGGCTAGATTTTTTTTTTAAGAGAAATCTACATATTTTCTTTCTTTATCCCACTGGATTCTAGCATATGGCTCTTCCTGATGTAAATAACACATCTTCTTCTCCCAGATCATTTTAGTAAAATACCATATGGAAAAGTGAAACACATTCCTGCTCTGTCCTTCTGGATAAAATCTGCAGATGGCCACAACTATTCCAAAAAGATAACAACTTAAAACTGCTACTTAAAGCAATTGATTATGCCCATTTCAAGGATTATTTAATTCTATCCATATGTGAATAAAACATAGAAAAGCTTGTCAAACGCGATAAACTTTGACCTACAAATTTGTTTTAAAAAGGAGATCAGGGGCTCCTGGGTGGCTCAGTGGTTGAGCGTCTGCCTTCGGCTCAGGTCATGATCCCGGGGTCCTGGGATGGAACCCCACAGGATCCCTGCTCAGTGGGGAGCCTGCTTCCTCCTCTCCCTCTACCCCTCCGCTCTGCTCATCCTCTCTCTCTCTTTTGCTCTCTCTCAAGTAAATAAATAAAATCTTTAAAAAAAGGAGATAAAAGCATGTGAAAAGGAAATGTAAGTGGAAAGAAGTTAAAAAAAGATTTACTCAAGTGATATCTACTCTTTTGTACCTTTTTATAACATGTGATTCAAAAGACTGATAGTCCTAACCATAATTACAAACTCTTCATTCATTTCCTTCAAACATATGAGATATGAGAGAAAACTCAAATGCACTGGAATTAATATCCAGGACATTAGAGAACAATTACTATTTTAAACTCTTAAGTCCCAGCAAGTCTTCGAAGTCAGCTAAATTAAGCCTATACTGCCAGAGGCTCATTACCAGCTTAATCTCTGGGAATTAGAGCAAGGCATATAGTGTTACTGTTCGATTCAGAGAGAACCATAGCTGTATCACTTAAAACTTCTTTTTCTAACCTCAATTACCTTAGAAATGGAATCCTGCTACTGGAAACAGTGAAAGATAATTTGTTTTTAAATGTCAATCCAAAAAATAAATAAATAAATAAATAAATATCAATCAAACATTATACATATAGACTACATGGTCTTTTAGCTAAAGGGAGGGAAGGCAGAGATATTAATTTAATATTAACAGAACTCATTACCCTTTCTGGAAAATCTGTAAAAGTAACAGGGTCATTCAAAATAGACAGAAGGAGCAATGTTATAGCAGAAGCCTCATCTCAGTCTGACAAGGTCCCACACTCCAGAATATAATGTCCTGATTGCTTAGTACATATTACAAAGTTACGGTAGTGGAAGGCGACAGATAGAAAGCATCTCCTGGGGGCACTTGGATGGCTCAGTAGGTTGGGCAGCCAACTCTTGGTTTCGGTTCTAGGTCATGATCTTAAGAGCATGAGACTGAGCCCTGTGTTGAACTCCACGCTCAGCAAGGCTGTCTGCCTGTCCCTTTCACTCTGCTCTTTTTTTTCTCTCTCTGTCTCTCTCTAAAATAGATAAATAAATCTTTAATAAAAAAGAAAAGAAAGCATCTCCTGGTTTTCTGTTTACTTCAGTACCAGTTCCTCTCAGGCTCCTGTTCTGACCTCTACTGTTGGCGCTCCTACAGGGCACAATCTGGGACCCCTTTCCTTTTCCTTTCACTATGTCCTTAATATAAATACCATTTTAGGCTGCTGTGCTCAAATTTACATCAGCCCAGACATTGGGTTCTGGGTTACAGAGCCACCCCCCATTTTAATCTCTCTACTCTAAGACTCATATTCCAACTGGACCATACCTAAATAAGAATGGTTAGTAAAAGCAAAATATATTGAGCACTTACCATGGCCCAGACTGCATTCTAAGCATTTTTCATGCACTAATTGATTTAATCACCATGACTATCCCATGAGGCAGATACTATGATCAACCCTATCTTGCAGACTGGGAATAGAAGACACACTAAGTTAAGTAGCCCCATGTTAACACATTTAATACATGGCACAGGGGATCCCTGGGTGGCTCAGCGGTTTGGGGCCTGCCTTCAGCCCAGGGCATGATCCTGGAGTCCTTGGATCGAGTCCCACATCAGGCTCCCTGCATGGAGCCTGCTTCTCCCTCTGCCTGTGTCTCTCTGCCTCTCTCTCTCTCTCTCTCTCTCTCTCTCTCTGTCTCTCATGAATAAACAAATAAAAATCTTAAAAAAAATACATGGCACAGTCAGGATTCAGACTAAGGTCTTTTGCTTCAGAGCCTAGACTCCTAACAAACGCAGTGAATCACTTAAAGCAAAGTCGAGCTCCCTCCGTCAGGTGTACTCTCATCTCCTGACCCCAGACTCTCTCACCTCACTGAAGCTCAGGTCTTTTATTCAAGCTGGAAAGCAGGGATCATCTTGGATTCCTCCCTTTCCTTTCTTACCCACACTAACAAGGTCTATCAATCCTACCTCCAAAACCCACCCTCTTCCCTAACCTCAGTACAGTCTTGGATCACAGGGAAACACCTCCAAACTAGTGTCCTGGCTTCTGTGCTCACACACCAGTCTCCTAAATGCATCCTCTTCTTAGCAATGAAAGCAATCTGCAGAAGACACATCAGTGCATAACCACTGAATTCTGAAAACCACTGAATAGTGATTTTTCTCACCCTGAGAATAGAACCCACAAGCCTCATGGTCTTTCGAATGTTCCTGATCTATGCCTAACACCCATCTCGAGTCGCTCTTTCCCCACCTTACTCATTTTGCCCCAACATTTTTTTAATGCATTTATAGGTCTCCAATTAAATTTGCATGATCTTTTGTTTGGGATTATGCACAATACTCCCCCTTTAAGTGTGGACACAGCATAACTATAATTATAAAATGTTCAGGTATCCATGATCTTAAGAGCTGGGTGCCTAGCCTCCTTCTGGCCTATCCCACAACCATATCCCTGTGTATGTTTTTAGTTATTAGAAAAAAGCCCAAGTCCACCAAATAATGAGCACAGTTTCTGGAACAGAGAATGATCATCTCCTAAAAGAAAGGTGAATACAGAGACATAATAGAAGACACAATGATATAGATATGTGTGACCTTTTGACCTTGCTTCCTGCCATTTACTTCCCATCCTCTCAAAAAGGCCAAAAGGCCCAGGGTAAAAAGACTATGACAAAGCAATAATTTAAAAGATGGGAAAGTTAATGCAAGGTGCAATAAAAAAAAAGAAAGAGATCTTATTTAGACTCTTGCACTTAGAACAGGGGCAGAGCACAAGCAGCACATAAGTATTTGTTGTTCTGATTTGTAACCATGGAAAGAAAGTGATGTATCAGTTCAAATGGGCCCATGAATCAATATTTGAAATTTAGCAGGAAGAACTGACAGCAGGATTCCCTGCCCTTGAAAAATACCAGAAGATCTACAACTGCTATCTGATGTACTTACTGGCATCATCCATGAACTCAAAGTCGCCACCTAGCTCAGAACTTGAAAAGTGGTACTGGTCTGGGTCAGCCAGGGCGCTCAGCAGAATTAGCAGCACCACAGCGTTGATGATCTGCAATAAGAAGGAAAAAAATTTAAGTACCTCCAGGATATGTTCTTTATAACAGGACTTAAACTGATCATATGGAATTTAACTTCAACAGAGACTCCTCCCATTCAACACTAAGCCACTGTCCTGAGGGGCAGGAGAACATTCCCAAGGCAGAAGCACCACATGCTCATTCAGACCAAGGGCTCTTGGCTTGGTTGTGGCAGACAGCTAGATGTCACCTCCTGCTGCCTCAGGGCAGAAACTCTGAAGTAGCAAGCAGACCACTCAACATAAATAGCACCCCCGCCCAAAGCTGGAAAAACCCACAAACTCGCCAGTTAGCAGAGTGTACTCTGATAAGCAATCACAAGGCCTTCCAGGTGATCAAATATTTTCACAGATTCATACAATTTGAGCTTTGCAATCATTTAGGTAACAGAAAATGAATGCAAAACCACAGTATAGTGGCAGAGCCAGGATCATTCCTCTTGTAGCACAGGGGAGGTGAGGCCCCTATCCACCCCAGGCCCGCCTCTGCCTTCTGGAGACTGCAGAATAAACATCCCTTGGGTACTTTAAATTTAGCTCGTCTAAATGGAAATCACCTTCCTTCACCATCTCCTGTCTCTGTTCCTCTTTTTATGTTCTCTATCTTAAAAAACTAGCATCATGGTTAATCATTAAAAGTGGAGGGCATCCTGGGTGGCTCAGTGGTTTAGCGCCCCCTTCATTCAGCCCAAGGCGTGATCCTGGGGACCCAGGATTGAGTCTCACGTCAGGCTCCCTGCATGGAGCCTGTTTCTCCCTCTGCCTGTGTCTCTGCCCCTCTCTCTCTCTCTCATGAATAAATAAATAAAATCTTTTTTAAAAAAAAGTGGAAAACACTCAAGCGCTACACTAAGTGCTTTATATGGACCCATGCTCTTAAGCCATCCAATAAACTAGTGAAATTGGCACTAAATTATCCCCATGTTATAGACGAAGAAACTGAGGCTTGGGAGTTAAGAACATTACAGAAGATAGGGCAGCTAACAATCTGCAGAAATGGAGTTTTAGGAATCTTGATTCCTAAAACCTAATCTTTTAGCTTGCTGTTTATACTTAAAACCTGATTATCTTTGGGCTATCTTCCTTAACTCTACATCCAACTAATTGGGAAATTCTGGCCATTCTACAATTTCTACTTCCTTTATTCTTCCTAACTGCCCTTGCTACATGCTATATATCCATGTACCAACTGCGGTGGGGCTGGAGGGGCAGGTGTGGTAAAAGCTTAGGTGAGGCTCAGGATGAGACTGGGTTATTTCTCCTTTTTGCATGTGTTTTTTTATTCTTGTCAGAATGGGGTAGAGAAATGAATGACCATGAAGATTATGTAGAGGAAATTCTTTTACTTACAAGAGTAACTAAAGGCCTAAACTATAAAATTCCATAAAAACTATATAAATTTCTATAAAAACTACTATAAAATTCATATTTGGTATACCTACTTACAGAACAGGTTCAAAGGGAATGTCAGGTTGTTTGTTCTACAAAACATCTACTCCAGAATTCATTTTTCTTTTTTTAAGTATTTTATTTATTTACTTATTCATTTATTTGAGAGAGCAAGCATGGGGGGAGGACAGGGGAAAGGAATAAGCAGATTCTGTGCTGAGGGTGGAGCCAATGTGGGGCTCAATCCTAGGACCCTGAGATCATGACCTGAGCCAAAATCAAGAGTCGGAGGCTCAACCGACTGGGCCACCCCAGGCACCCCAGAATTCATTTTTCAATGGCAATCCCAAGTGGTCGTTTAAGGATTATTGTAAGATTCAGAATAATTATTTTTCTTCCTCTTTTTTTCCAAATTGTCTCATATGATCTGATTGCTTTTTGAAATAAAATGACAATAATGAGAATGAATAGCAATTTCAGAGTATACATATGTATCCTGTGCATGTAAAATACACGTACATACATGTATGTATACAAATGTATGTACATATATATAAAGTTAACATAAATAACCATTACAAATATGTGGTTAAAAAATTTCTTGGGATCCCTGGGTGGCGCAGCGGTTTGGCGCCTGCCTTTGGCCCAGGGCACGATCCTGGAGACCCGGGATCGAATCCCACATCGGGCTCCCAGTGCATGGAGCCTGCTTCTCCCTCTGCCTGTGTCTCTGCCTCTCTCTCTCTCTGTGACTATCATAAATAAAAAAATAAAAAAAAATTTCTTAAGGTACAAAAGAGTATATAGTGAAAAGTCAGTTTCCTTCCTATTGCTATCCACCAATTACCCTCCCCACAGTGGTTATTAGAACTACTGGTTGCTTGTTTCTCTTCAAAGATCCTAGAAACTTCATAGCACGTTTTAAAGACAGTGTGGTTAGCCAAACTCTATTTGAAGAAAGCTTATCTGAACATATCTAAAGCTTAAAGAAAGGTATGAGTTAGTCCTACAGCTGGCTTGTGATGTTTAGCAAAGATGTGCTTTGATACACTGTCCAGTTTTCTTGGCACTTCATTCCCTCTATACTCCTGTCTTTGCAAAAGGCAGTCCTAAGATTACCAACTGAAATAAGATCAGAGACGAAATCACCTAAGATTGTATTTTTGAAAAAGTAAGCCACCATACAAAGACAGCATATTCACTATTACCATAATGGGTCACAGTTTTGAGGCTGAAAAGGGAAAACATACACCTAGGATTTACAGGCAAAGCTTTAAGGAGCAGTGGAGGTTGGGTGGAGTGAGGAGGCAGGGCAGTGTATCCGGTTAAGGACATGAAGGACACATTTAGGGATTCTGTAGGGCTAGTGTTACAGAGTTTGGGTTTTATTTTAAGGGTACAAGAGGGGATCCCTGGGTGGTTCAGCGGTTTGGTGCCTGCCTTCGGCCTGGAGTGTGATCCTGGGGCCCTGGGATCGAGCCCCATGTCGAGCTCCCTGCATGGAGCCTGCTTCTCCCTCTGCCTGTGTCTCTGCCCCTCTCTCTGTGTGTGTCTCTCATGAATAAATAAATAAAAGCTTTTTTAAAAAAAAAAAAGAAAGAAAGAAAGGGAAGAACGTGATCTGATTGGGGTTCAAAGGAGTAAATCAAGTAAAACATCTAGCAGAGTGACTGGCATATAATGGCCACTCCAATGAGTTCACTTACCTCTTTACACCTCAAGAAGAACCACATAACAGCTCTTGGCTGGCATGGAACATGACCTGGCTGCCACTCAGCTAGCAATAGACCGCTGTTGTCCTGTCTTTTTAGTTTCAACACATCTGTCAACTCATTTTATTTTCTGATTTCAGATTTTATTAAATTTATAGTATTAGGGGCACCTGGGTGGCTCAGTCAGTTAAGCGTCTGCCTTCAGCTCAGATCATAATCTCAGGAGTCCTAGGGTGGAGCCCCAAGTCGGGCTCTGTGCTCAGCAGGGAGCCTGCTTCTCCCTCTCCCTCTGCTCCTCCCCCTGCTGGTGCTCTCTCTCAAATAAATAAATAAAATCTTAAAAAAACAAAAACAAATTTATGGTAATTAAAAGTGTAGTACTGGCATAAACACATGGGCCAATGGAACAGAACTGAAAGCCCAGAAAAGCCCATGCATATATGGTCAACTTATGTTTGCCAAGGGAGCTAAGAATACTCAGTGGAGAAAGCATCTGTCAGCTCTTAATCAGCTTATTATTATCCCCACGCCTGGTTTACTTATCACAATACATTTGCTAACTGCAACAACAGATAGGAACTGCACTAAGTGCTTAGGAAGAATGCTCCTGGACTCAGAATATGAAGTTAAATAAGTCATGTGCCCAAATAACACAAAGCATACAGCAGTAAGCATGCCAAGAGTTCAGAGAAAGACTAATGGAAGTTCAGAGAAAGGGATTAGAAGCCTGAGCCTGAGACTGAGGGCACAGGGAGGCATTGTAGAGATGGGAGCACTTGGGACAGGGGACAGAGAGATAGGAAGGTTTTGGAAGCTTAGCAGTGTGGAAAAGAACACATTCAGTCTGAGTAGGGCCACTGGGATGGGGGCCTGTACTGAATAGAGAGTAAGCAGCTCAATGCGGCTGAACACAGCAGGCAAGGTTAAGTGTAGGAGAATTAGAACAGAAATGCAGGCTGGGGTGGGGGCCTGGGAGGCTTAGCGGTTGAGTACGGGAGTCTTGATTTCGGCTCAAGCCATGAGCTTGGGGTTCTGGGATCCAGGCCCTTGTCAGGCTCCATGCTCAGTATGGGGAGACTGTTTGTCTCTTTCTCCCTTTATCCCTCCCCCACTCATGCTAACTCTCTCTCTCTGAAAGAAATCAATAATTCTTTAGAGAAAAAAAGAAAAGGAAAGAAATGCAGATTAAGACTGGATAGTGGATGGTCCTTAGGAGCAGGACAGGAGCCTGGGGCTTCAAGCTTATAGTTAATGAAGATGCCATAAAGGTTTCTGAGCTGGGGTGAGACACGATCAGAGTCCTGTCACTAGGAAGACCAAACCAGAAGAGATGGGGGGCTCAGCAGGAGAGAGGCCCCTTGAGCTGGAGAGCACTGCACCGCTCTCCTGAGGAGTAACAAGAGGTTCCTTCCACTTTCCTGTATTCTCAAGACAGCATGGTGGGACCGTGGTCTCACAGGTTACTTTCAGAGGTGAAGGGACCTCACCTCAGGTCCTAGTGTTAGAAGGGCCACAGTTGGAACTCCAAGGCCTTTCCATGTGGTGAGGCAGCATCATCAGAGCCATATTCACTGACGAGAGGCAAAGATAACGGGACACAAACAAGCCTCGGTGTTTCAAGGCTGGGTAATAGGATCCCACCTTGTTACTACCAGAAATATGGGACATGACAGAGGCTAGATGAGGCTGATTTTAGACATGTTGTGCTGGAAAGTACTTCGCGGAGGCCCAAAGAATCATGTTTTCCGCCTGTTTTTAGTCGACCTTTGGTGTTCGGGCCAGCCCTGGTTTTGCTCTGGCCGCCTGTACCCGTCACATCACTCCCGGCAGCAGAGTTCTGGTCACTGGTTCAGTGTGCTTCTCGCTCCACCA